ATTGATACTTATAAATTAATAAATAATTTTTTAAAAAAAAAGTAATTCATCTAAAATGTTTGATGAGTTTTATACAATATTATAATTTTGGTTCTAACATTTTTTTTAAATGATTACTTTTGATTTTAAAATAGTATTCGTTTATTCAAAAGTGATAATTTCATTTTTCTCTTGAAATTCAAAATTAAATTAAAATTACTACTTTTTTGGTAAAAGCAAATGAATTTAAAAATAGATTAATAAAAATATTGTTTCAAATAAAATAGAAGAACAAAATTACACTAAAATTGAGTATTAAAAAAAAGAAAAAGAGAGAGATAAAAGAAAACACAATATAAGATAAGAAGATTGAGGTCGGACAGAGCTTGACGGCGGCGGACGGCTGAAAGCAGAAAACAGAAAACGAAGGAAGAGAGAGAAGCAAAAGTTCAAATGAGCGATCTCTTTCGCTATTTCTAGGCAATTCCAAGCACGTGCACAAGCACGTGCGGCTAGGGGCATCATCATGACCCTATCCTAAACATTATTGCACATTAACTGCAACACACAGCTCGAGGCACACGTGTCGTTCGCACTCTTCAGATCCCATCACCTGTTGGTCTCCCCGTGCCTCAAGTTCCCCGACATGCAGCATGACAGGTGCCCGAACACATTTTCCTTCGAGCACAAGGTGATAACCCTATCTCTGCGGCTAGCAACGACTTTGCCCGGAAAGCAGACTACCCTTAAGTCATCACTCCCATGCTCGGGAACAACGACTTAGGGGGCTACTGTTTCAGACTGACCCGATGGCTAGACACGACCCAATCCACTTATACTAACTACCATTAAGTACTTTCCTAACCAACTTGTGTTAATTTAATGGATCATAACTACCACTAACCACTTATACGAACGCCACCGTATCACTATAACACCAGGATCAACTAAAAGCTTAAAAGTTCCTAAGTCCTAACAATCACTATGACACCGATAACAGATAAAGTGGCAAAACCACCGTCTACCACCAACACCCACCAGAAAGCGCCCTAAAACTACCCAAATCGCATGAAATCTATGGTGCAGAAATTATCGAAACAAGCAACAAGCAAGAGATAAGCACACTTACGTGGTCGGGGATGAAGTTTCTGGGTCTAAATGACTCTGGTTGGTGCTTATACGGTGTTCGAACGGAGCTCGACGACGGCGGACGATTGGAAGCAGAAAACAAAAGACGAAGGAAGAGAGAGAAGCGAAAGTTCAAATGAGCGGACTCTCTCGCTATTTATAGGCAATTCCAGGCACGTGCACGAGCACACGCAACTAGGGGCATCATCATGACCCTAGCCTAGACATCATTGCACATTAAATATAGCACACAAATCGAGGCACACATGGCGTTCCCACTTTTCAAATCCCATCACCCGTTGGTCTCCCCGTGCCTCAAGCTCCCCGACATGCAGCGTGACAGGTGTCCGAACACATTTTCCTTCGAGCACAAGGTGATAGCCCCATCTCTGCGGATAGTGACAACCTTGCCCGGAAAGCGGACTACCTTAAGTCATCACTCCCATGCTCGGGAGCAACGACTTGGAGGGCTACTGTTCCGGACTGACCCAATGGCTAGGCATGACCCAACCCACTTCTGCTCCCAGAACGGCCCAATTGCCAAAGTCCACTCAATTGGAGGGGTGCATTTATCCTTTTGGCCCTCCAATAAGGGAGGCTGACCAATTTACCCATGGTCACAACGCTTCTCCTCGACAAGATCTTCCCGTCACGCACGACTCCACCATCCAAAAACATCTAGGACGTCTATGCCCGTAACTGCGCCCCTGCCCGTAGCAACAACTAGTTATGGGCACCTCTGTCTGTTCTAAAGGCTAGTTCTATAAGTTACCTATTCTTTAGAAAATGATTATCTCATCCCGAAAATATGGACCAATGACCAAGCGGTGGGGGAACTTTAGAAACCTTGTCACTTGAGAGGGTCAAGTATCCAATATTCACCTTGATATAGTCATATTCTGTACTTGCACTCTCTTGCCTAATTCTTACTTTAGCATCGGAGTGCCTTGCAGGTACACCCCCTCCTCCTCTCTCACACCCAATATCACAGACGTTTGTCTCTGACTCACTCCAGATTCTAATCATCCATCAAGATCATATATATATATATAATAAGTTAATTATACAAACTACCACTAACTACTTTTCTAACCAACTTGTGTTAATTTAATGGATCATAATTCTCTGCAATCAAGGAATTATACTGTCGCACACAGTCAGACCAACATAGGTCTTATGATTTAAATTAAATGGTGCAGATTTTACATCATTAAACATATAATTTTTTTTTATAAGAGATAAATGGATAGGATCCCTCTACCGTAAGCATTTAACTGCAAGGAATTCATTTCCTAATTTAATCAGCAGGTTGATAGGACTACATTTTATTACACATTTTTTTCTTTTAAATTAAAATAAATAATGTAATTTGAGTGTTTTGAATAAAATACATTTTTTTATACTTAAATACGATTTTAATTATTTTATTTATATTTTTCAAAATGTATTAATATATAAATAAATTATTAATACTTATAAATTAATAAATAAAAATTAAAAAAAAAGTAATTCATCTAAAATGTTTGATGAGTTTTATACAATATTATAATTTCGGATCTAACTTTTTTTTAAATGATTACTTTTGATTTTAAAATAGTATATAATATCATTTTTCTCTTGAAATTCAAAATTAAATTAAAATGACTACTTTTTTGGTAAAAGCAAATGAATTTAAAAATAGATTAATAAAAATATTGTTTCAAACAAAATTATAAAATTGAGTATTAAAAGAAAGAAAAAGAGAGAGATAAGAGATAAGAAGATTGAGGGGGTTAGACAGCAGCGAACCTCAAACTAGCTTCGGAACAGAGGTTTGTTTGGTTTCCTCCCTTTCCCTTGTCTGTTTTTTCTTCAATTTCATTCTTTATAATGTTAAACTCTCCGCTACACAGCAAGAGCGTGTTGTCCTTTCAAAATTTGAGTTACATGTTGTTGAATTATGATGTTATTAGGTGAAAATGGTGGTGAGCATTCGATTGGCCAGACATGGTCGCATACACAGCCCTTTCTATAGGGTTGTTGTTGCTGATAGCAAATATCCAAGAGATGGCAGGAACCTTGAGGTTGTAGGTTACTACAATCCTATTGCAGGTTAACATTCTAATTCTCTCTGTCATACTATGTTTTTGTTTTCTTCTTGCTTTTGTTATACCTGTTACGGGTTTAGATGATACACATCAAATCCTTTTCTAACTCGATTTACTTCTTTTTGTTCAGCTAAAGATGATGAGAAACAATTGAGTATCAAACTTGAAAGAGTGAAGTAAGTAACTTTGATCCATCTTTATGAATTTTATGACGGAACTCTCCGCCACGGTTTTAATAGGATAACTGTTCTTCATCTTCTTTAGGTACTGGCTTTCTGTTGGTGCTCAACCTTCAGAACGTGTGAAGAGTCTTTTATTTCATTCTGGTTTACCACTGAAACGTAAAGGTTACTATCCCGAGCAGCCAGTCGATGCCAATGCCAATGAAGCTGATGGTGAACATACACTCCTTCCATTTGAATCTCTTTTAGTATTTGTTTTTGGGTTCTTTCTTTTTCTCATTTCATTTGCTGTTTATTTTAGGTATATCTCCAGAAGCTGTTCTTTCTATTGGCTTACAAGTTTAACTGAAGGGAATGCCAAAGAGATATGTTTGGAGAAGATCGTCTGTGTTGTATATCATCCAGTGCAATTGCAATACTTTGATCAAATGTTGCACTTTGTTCAAGTTATTTGCCTTCTTGTTGTTAAAATATCAATTGTTTTTGTCTTCTTGAACTAACTTAGAAGATGTCAGTACAATATTTGAATGTAGCTCATTTGATTTCTGCTTAGTTCATGTACTCTGTCACGTAGCTCATTTGATTTCTGCTTAGTTCATGTACTCTGTCATGTATGCATGCCTGACAAAAGTCTACTAATCGGAGTTAATGCGCATTAGATTTGGTTAGAGGAGGTCGTGTCAGCCCTCAACTCATTTAATTATCTGGGCCTACCGATCAGGAGGAGTCCTCGGAGAGTAATAATGTGGAAACCAGTAGGGATACGGTTAGGCGAAGTCTATTTTGGTGGAACAATAATCACGGACGAACAATCCTCTTGAAATCATTCTTGTATGCATTGTCAGTCTTCTCCATTTCTTTCTTTAAGGCATCCTCAGGTATCACTCTCAAACTTGATTAACTCTTCAAAAAATTCTTGTGGGGTGAGTGTGTTGAGGCAAAAGTGAGGAGAGATTGGGTATTAAGAACTTGAAAGCATTTAGTTTAATACTATTAAGTAAATGGAAGTGGAGAATACTTTCCGATAAAAATAGTAGATGGTACAAAGTTTTAGCAAGCAAATAAAGAGAGACGAATGGTAGGATAGTTGGGAAGGGAGTAATTGTTCAATTTGGTGGAAAGATTTACAGAACATAGAGAATGGAGTTTGTCAAATATGCATCATATTTATCAGGCCACTTAGAGGAGGCACATTGAGGAGTGAAATTGTATAGAAATGTTATTCATCAGTCATGACTATTTCTGATATTTGCTGCATAAACTTATTTGTTATGAGAAGAACTGGAGTGTTAATTATCAAGAGTAATGGTTCTGTCATCGTTTCGCTGTGATCGAGTCGAGTCAGTGGTATGTTTTCAGGGGATCCATGTCCATATTCGTTGATGTTTCTTTAGCTGTCAAGGTGTGGTCGGTCGGAATTCTGGATAACAGTGAAGCTGTACTGATCTGTCATTTAGTATGCTTATAAAAGAAAAGTGGAAAAAAGTAAAATGAAAGTTCATTACATCAAAGAGTATATAAGACTTATTTAGTAAATGAGAAGAATAATTAGTGTAACCAACTAGTGTATATCTGAATTTCACATCTAATAATTTGTTCCAACTTCATGGTCTAGAGTTTCGCTTCACTCCAAAACTCCAGAAATAGCAGATGATGAAGACTTAGAATAACGTTCAAGCAATGACAATACCTTAGCAGCTTTCCTTTTGAGATGGCCATCCCCGTATATATTATTTCCAGTCAAGCAAACTAGTCGCGATCTCGCCGTCATTCCATAGTACTCCACCATTTCCTTTGACACAAAAACCTTCTCCAAAAGTCCTAAAGCTTCTGCCTTAAGTGACTCACTACCCCAATTCAAAATCTCCAATAAAGGCCTCATTGCATTCGAATCATGCAACAAACGAGAGCCTCGATGTGGAAACTCCTCTAAAACCAATGTAGAAAGTGTTTGTATTGCTTCAAAAGCAGTTGCATGAACCTCTCCTTGTAACAGCTTTATCAAACCAGGTAAAGCATTTGCTTCCAGAAGACAGAATGTGGTTGTTGCGCTGCATACGCTATCGTGCGCTGCGCATAGAGGAATGCGCGATGGTCAGCAAAACCAGCAACCTGTTGGTTTTGAAACATCTGTTAGCTTTGGAGCGCTCATGGAAAGCTCACCGATGAAAGCTGCTGCTATTGCTTTTGCTGTGATTGAACTGGTGTTGAGAAAGTTTACAAGCAAAGGATATATTCCGCGTTTAACTAAATCACGCTGTGACTCGATGTTTATAGGATCCGTGAACCTGAAGAGTGCGCTGAGAGAAACTGGAAAGTTTGCATCTTCTTAATGTGTAGTGCCGACTTCAAGTTTTTCAGAAAAAAGTTTGCAAGAACGCGATGCATTCTCAAAAGTGTAGTGCGTTGGGTCGAGACACAGTGAGTCCTGCGGTTTCTATTGAAACATAGTGCATTTTAGGAAAATGTAGTGTGTTTTGCCTAACACTTATAAAAGGCGTTTTTCCGTTCTTAAGTCCTCTTTTAGGCACAAGTGCTATTAGGGAGTTTTTTAAAGAGAAAAATTCAAAGAGACAGAGATTCTTTTAATACTCGTTGTTTAAAAAATTGGAAGACTTTTGAGAGAATTGAAAAACACTTCTAAACATCATGAGTTTGTTTGATTCATACATTAAGTGAATGAGAGATTGCGCAATACTTGGGCAGAAAAATATGAAATGTTTTTATGAATTTGAAAGACTAGTTTCTTTTATAACTCATCTTATAACAACAATTGCATTATAGTGAATAGGAAATCTGCTCTCTCTTTTATAGTAGATCGATTTGATTGAACTGGATGAATAGATTTTATGTTTACTCTTATTTTATTTTCTTCTTTTTGTTGTATTGCTTATACTGTTTAATCGACTAATTATTATTTAAAGGTATTTATTTCTGTTGCTATTGTTTTTTGTTCCACACATTCGTACTCTTGGTGTGTTTAACCTTTGACATTTCAATTTTAGAACAAGTACCGTCCATTGTGGGATGAAATACTTGTTCTAAAAATTGGAAGACTTTTGAGATATCTAAGAGAATTGAACTCGAGCATATATGCCAAATCTACTTAATCAACATTTGTTGCATTCCATGCCAATGCTCATCATCCTTCAAATGGCAAGGGAAATAGTTTTAACAAAGGGAAGAGATTTCAATCTTCTAAAGAAGTTAACAGAGGATAAACTCATTTCAAAAGAACTAATCACACACTCGATACATGCTTCTTGAAACACGAGTATCTACCGGGCTATAGACAAAGAGAAAAAGCTCCGAATTCCAGCAAGAATTCTTCTCAATCTTAAGCTCACAATGCTTCAAACAATGGCCCTTCTGCATCAAAAGATTCATCATGCTCCTTTTCTGGTTTTACTCAAGAAGAGTTTCAAAGAATTCATGCACTTCTTCAACAATCAAAACCTAAACATGCTTCGAACTTAATCACTACCTCTCCCTTTGTCGTGAATTCTCATTCTTCCATAAGCATTGGTAAGCAGACTTCCCTTTGGATTTTAGACACATGAGCCACTGATAACGTCACCTTTAACCTTGATTTTTTTTTACTTCATATCATAACATTGTACCTATTTCTGTATCCTTACTTGATGGCTCTCATACGACTGCATGTATTTATGGAAATATTGTTATTTTGTCTACCATCACCCAATACAATATTTTATATATTACAACATTCCATGTAAATCTGGTATCAGTTACTAAATTGACTAGTACAATGATTGTTCTCTGAATTTTTCCTCAAACTCATGTCATATTTTGCAGACCCATTTGCAGTAAACAATTGGTACAACTAGATTGCAAATAGGTCTTTATGTGATAGATCATAGTGGTGTTTCCTCTACTTGTAATTCAGTTATTTCAAATTCCTTTGAACTATGGCATTTAAGATTATGCCATATTTCTCATTTTGGAATGCAAACTTTAGCTAAACAATTCCCTCTCATTCCTTGTAAAAATAACATAAATCCATGTGATTTTTGCCTTATGCAAAACAAAAGAAACTTTCCTTTACAAATAGTATTACTCATACTTATGTACCCTTTAAACTTTTACATGCCGATTTATGGGATCCTTTTGCATGTGAATCCATTCTAGGTCATAAGTATTTTCTTACATTAGTTAATGACTTTTCAAGATTCATTTGGGTGGTATTTCTTAAAACTAAATCAGAAGCTAAACAAAGCATTATTTATTTAATTTCATATGTAGAAAACCAATTTAATACTACCCTGAAATGCTTTAGATCTGACAATGGTTCAAAATTTATGTCCCTCAATGAATTTTTTTCTTTCTAAAGGCATTAGACATGAAAAATCTTGTGTATAAACCCCCAATAAAATAGGGTGGTGGAAAGAAAGCATTAACATATATTCATAATATTTCATTCTAATGTTCCCTTAAATTTGTGAAATTTTAGTATTCAACATATTGTTCATTTTATCAATAGAATCCCTAGTAATTTACTCAAATCTAAGAGCATCTTCAATGGTACAATTCATTTTTAGGTTTTTTGTGGGACCCACTCTTTTAAAGCAACTCATTCAATTTTCACTCCAATGGTGCAACTCTAAAGAATCCATATTGGGTCCCACCACTTTACTTAAAAAATATTATTTATATTAAATTTATTTTATTTAAAATTATAATTTAAATATTTAAATTTTAATTAAAATAATAATTAAAATAATAAATAAAATTTTATATCAAATTATAGTTTTTATATTATAAAATTAATATTTTAATATAAGAACCATTGAAGAACCGTTGCATATTTAAGAACTTTTTCATCTTGAAAACAACAAATATGAGTGCCATGTTGGCAAACCCACTCTAAGAACTCCCATTGGAGTTGGTCTAAGTGTCCTTATGAGATTTTATTTAAAGCATTTCCTGTTCTCATTCATCTGAAACTATTTGATTGTCTTTGTGTGCCCACAACACTTCAAGCTCATAGAAACAAGATTGAACCTATGGCAAGAAAAGCAATATTTCTTGGCTTTAAAGATGGTACTAAAGGTTACATACATTATGAGCTTACATATCATGACTTGTTTGTGTCAAGAAATGTTATTTTCTATGAAACTTTCTTTCCCTTCAAAAGTACACACACAAAATCTCTTTTGTCTATCCCTAATCTAGTGGACATTCCCCTGTTACTTAATTCTCATTCACCAGCTGGACCCACTCTAACTGTTGATTGTCCTTCACCTCCTGGTGAACATATCCCCATTCTTTCTATATCTGATAGTTCTAGCCACTTTTCTAACCTTGTACCTAATAGTTCTATCATGTTTCCTAACCCTGCTAGCCCTTCTCCTATCATTGTTGATCATAACCCTAACTTTGTCCCAGAGATTACTGATAATAGGTTGGACCCTTCAGACCTTCAACCTCATACTTTTACTCAACTTATTCCTTCACTCAAGAAATCTACTAGGTCCAAACAACCTTTTAGTTTTCTTAAAGAGTACCATTGTAGTCTCCTTCCTCATTCATCCAACAATATCTCAACAAATGCCTATATCTTGCCTTTATATCCTCTATCTGATTTCTTGTCTTATGACAATTGTGCTCCTACTTATAAAAAAATTTATTGCTCCATTTCTTCCATATCTGGGCTAAAGAACTACCTTTAAGCCTTTAAACTTAACTGCTGAAAAAATGTGATGGATGTTGAGATAACTGTTGTTAAGGATAACCATACTTGGACCATTGTGAATCTTCCTGCAAGTAAAACTCCAATTGGTTCCAAATGGGTTTACAAGGTTAAGTATCATGCAAATGTCTCTATAGAGATATATAAAGCTAGGTTGGTAGCTAAGGGATACACTCAATTAGAGGGTGTTGATTACTTTGATGCATTATCTCTTGTTTCTAATATTACTACTGTCAGGGTTTTATCGTCTCTTGCAGCTATCAAGAATTTTCTCCTTAAGAAACCTGATGTCAATGATGATTTTCTTTATGGAGATCTAAATGAGGAAGTGTATATGTATCTCCCTCCTGGCTATGATATTTCTGGTTCCAACAAGTTTTGCAATCTCAACAAATCCTTGTATGGCCTGAAACAAGCCTGTAGGCAATGGCATGCTAAGCTCTCTTGTGTTTTACTTTCTCTAGGCTATACATAATCTGAGGTTGTTCATTTCCTTTACACAAAACACACTTCTAACAGTTTCATTACACTATTAGTGTATGTTAATGATATTGTCTTAACAGGTGATTCCATCATGGAAATCAATAATGTCAAAGCTTTATTACACCACAAGTTTTGCATTAAAGACCTTGGTTAGCTGAAATACTTTCTTGGCCTTGAAATTGCCCAATCCACCTCTGGCATTTTTCTCAATCACAGAAAATACGTCTTGGAACTACATGAAGATACAATCTTTCTTAGAGCTAAGTCTGCTTCTACTCCTCATGATCCTACCTTGAAGCTTTCTTCAACAAATGATGTTCCGTTGGATGATCCTTGATTCTATCACAAACGCATTGGCTGATTGCTATACCTTACTAATATGCGTCCTAGAATTTCGTTTTCAGTACAACACCTTAGCCAATATGTTGCTAATCCATTTATATTTCATTACAGAGCTGCTACTCATGTCCTTATATACTTGAAGGATTTTCCTGCACAAGGCATCTTGTTTTCCAATTCAAGACAACTCAAGTTGCATGGTTTTTCTAACTCCGACTGGGTCAGATGTCCAAATTCTTGAAAATTTGTTACTGGATACCATGTTCTACTTGGAAGTTCCTTAATTTTGTGGTGCTAAAAAAAAATACAATATCTCGATCATCTACAGAGGCAGAATATCGGGCCTTGGA